GAAGTTACTTTCATCAGCCTTTCTTGGTGGATATGCAGCTTTTCATTAGTATGTAGGGGTGACAGCTAAAGCATTTAATAATTGGGGGAGGGGCTTTGGTCTTCACAGATCAGCATGGCCCCTGGCATTCGAGCTAGGGCTGTGATTAGGGCCCCTTGCTTGGCCGCACAGTAATGTTTTTGGTAAAGAAGCAGAGAGGAAATATTTTAGGCCTTGGGGACCACACAGTGTCTGTGGCAACCACTCAACCCTGCTCACCAAGCGGCCGTGGAGACGCACACGTAAGTGTGTCTGCGTCCCAATAAAAGTCTACAGACACTGAAATTTGAATTCCATATAATTTTCACATAAGAAAAAAATATTACTCATCTTTTGATTTTTTTTCCCCCACTATTTAAAAAGGCAAAGATCACATTTAGCTTACGAGCCATTCACAAACAGGCAGTGGGTCAGACTTGCAGTTTGCCCACCTCTGCTCTAGACCAAGAGATGGAGACCTCTCCTCCGTGACTTCACTTCTACTCCTGACCCGGCCACTAACTGGCCAGGGGGCTCCGGGCACCTTCTTAACTTCTGTGGGCCTCAGTGTCTTTATCAAGTGTGTGTTGACAGAGCAGGACAAACAGGCGCAGATCAAAGCTCGTTTTAGCTCTAATATGAAGTTTCCTGACTATTAAACCCAAGCAATGTTATATAAGGGGAATGGAAATTATTTAAAAGAAATACAAAGAACAATGGAAATTATTTTTAAAAAAGCCAATATATCTTAATATTCTCAATGTGAATCTTTGTTTAAATACGAGGAATGATGACCCCCCCTCTGACAGCAGAACCAAAATTTATAGTCTCCTAACTCTATTTGAAGGCTCATACCACTTTCTGTGTCTCCCGTGCTATGCTTTTTTCCCTCCAGTTTTACTGAGGTGTCATTGACATGTAGGATTGTATAGGTTTCAAATGTACAACATAATAATTCGATATATACATATACTGTGAAGTGATCACCACAATCAGTTTAGTTCACTTGCATGACCTACAGAGCTACGTTTTCCTTGTGATGAGAACTTCTAAGATCGGCTATCCTAGCAACTTTCAAATATACAGTACAGTATTGTTAACTAGAGTCACCTTCCTGTACGTTACATCCCTGGGACTTCTCAGTCGTACACCTGGAAGTCTGTACCTTTTGACCACCTTCTCTCATTTCCCCCTCTGCTCACCCCTCACCCCCAATCTGTTCTCTATTTCCGTGATTTTGGCTCTTTTTAGATTCCACGTGTAAGCGACAACATACAGTGTTTGTACTTGTCTTTCTCTGTCTGACTTATTCCAGTTAGCATAATGCCCTCAAGGTCTGTCCAGGCTGCATGTCACACTCATCTTTTGGTTACTGAATTATGAGAAACTCCGAGGGTTCCTCGGGGGAGTGGCAGGAGGTGGGGCAGGTGTAGGGTAGACACTAGGGCGGCTCCAGCAGCATCTCTTTACCAACCGGTATGTATTTCATGTTTAAGCAACCAGTGCTGCTGTCCTGGGGCCACTCAGCTGAATGTCAGCCAGACTGCTGTGCAGAGAGTGTCTGTCTGGGTGACCAGCCTGCTCCGGCAGATCCTGTAGACCATTCTGGGTGACCTACAAAGCTCCTGAAAGCTTAAACCCAATGCTCAGTCAGTTCTACTTTTAGGTCATGAAGTTGCTAAATATGACTTAGAGTGAACAATTATTTGTTGTTTGTCTGAAATTCAAATTTAACTGGTTGTCCTGTATTTTCTTTACTACATCTGGCTATCCTAGGTGTCAATTTTGGGTCCACATCCAATCACCAAATGTGTAACTTGCCTTAGGGTAGCATCTCTACGTGATAAACTCTCAGTCACCCCAGAGCACCCATTTAGAGCATGAACTTTACAAAATCAGCCTTAAAGGGCAGTTTCTTTTTTTTTTCTTTTTTGAAAATTAATTTTCAGAGCTACATTTAAATATCTCTATTTACATTAAAATTTTGCATAATTTTCTTTGTATTGATTTTATACTGATTATATGTTAGTCATACTGATATTAAAACATTGAACAGTCTACTTGATTTTTTTATTGAAGTAGAGTCAGTTTACAATGTTGTGTCAATTTCTGGTGTACAGGATAATAGTTCAGTCATTATTATATACATATATTCATTTTCATATTCTTTCTCATTACAAATTACTACAAGATATTAAATGTAGTTCCCTGTGCTATACAGTATGAATTTGTTATTTACCTATCTTATATGTAGTAATTAGTATCTGCAAATCTCGAACTCCCAATTTATCCCTTCCCACTCCCTTCCCCACTAGTAACCATAAGTTTGTTTTCTATATTTGTGAGTCTGTTTCTGTTTTGTAAATAAGTTCATTTGTCTTTTTAAAATA